GCGACCGCGCCTCCGCCGCCCGCCGGCACCGGCCCCGGCCGCCCTCGGCCCGCGGAGCCGCCTCCAGCCCTCCCCTCACTCACAGACACCGCCCCGCTCGCCGCTCGCTCCCGCCCCTCGCCCCTCCCGCCGCTTCGGCCGGGCTCCGGCTGGGGGGCTGCAGTACCGCCCTGTGCCCACAAGGCGGCAGCACTGCCGCCCGCCACGGCTGGGGGCCGCCGCTCGCCCGGAGTGGAGGCAGGCGGAAAAGAGCGGCGGCGATCGAGCCCCTTGGAAAGAAATCCTTAGACATAAATGGCCCAAAAAAACCCTCAGAGAAACTAAAAGACCCTGCCTCGAACCAAATAACGCCCCCTCCGGCCCAAAAGCCATTTCTTTTTAACCGATATATATTTGTACGTCGGTTTTGTTCATTTGTAGCTGTGGGGCAGGGAGGCGGTGGGACAGCACGGGAGGGGCCGGGACGGGCGCCCCGCGCCGCACGGCAGAGGCAGCGGCCGCGCCCGGGATGGCCGCCGCAGGAGCCGGGCAGAGAGACGCTTACGTCAGGAGTTACGTCAACAGGACCATAAATTTCTCTTCTTTCTTAGCTATAGAAATGTGGTTTTAAATGTTCTGTCATGGTTCTATTCTGAAAGCTTCCATGGGAGAGATGAAAGGTAAACTCATATAACAATCTGGCTAGAACATATTAGGTTAAGCTGAGCACTTACTTCACTATGTGGAGTATCATGATAAGCTTCCCAAAAGACTAATTTTCAACTGAGCTTTCATAGCAAATTAATGCAGTAGCAGTCCTCCTATAAATTATGAATCTGAAATTTACAATGTTTTTAAAAAGGGAGTATTTCCACATGCACAGGAAGACTGAATCTAAAATAACTGGGTTTCTTACCACCAGCTGCCTACCACCTTCCAGAAACCAGCTGGGGTTTTGGATCTGGACTAGCAGAAACATCACCAATCAGTTAAAGGAGTTTTGGCAGCAAATGCAGACCTCAAAACTCTTTATGCCTTGGAAAGCTTTTTGAGCATTTAACCACTACTTTGTCTTCTTCTGGAAATAATGTACACTTTGTTGGTGAAATCTTAACATCCTTCTCTCAGATTTCCCTGTTACCAGATTCAAGGGGAGGAAATGTCATTCTTTCATCCGTGGTGTGGAGTGGTGGAAGTAAGCCATTCCTGGGAATTGCCTACCTGATTTCTGGCACAGCAGCAACCCTGACAGGTTTTGTCATAACTGGCATCCACCTAAAGCTCAGGAAAAAGAAAACATACTTTCAGAGGTGGTAAGGTTCACGTGACTTTCTGAACAATGCTGGAAGTGTGCAGTGAACAAAGAAGGTGCAGCACAGACCTTTCGCTCTTTCCCCTGAGTTCTGGACCATTTTCAGTGTCAGGTTTGGTGAATGTAAGCAAACTGAGGGGCAGGGCTATTCCATCCTCTGAAACCAAATTTACCTGAGGTGCCATTCTCATTAATGTGCATGTAAGCCTAAATTTGTTTCCTAGGAAAGTTGTACTGAGATGAACTTCTAACAGCAGATAGCAGAGCAGATTAAAATTGCAATGGCAAAGAAATTATGTGGTACCAATGTCTGGCCAGAAGTCAGGGTCCATATTCATTTCTTACTCAGCCCATAAATCAGATAACATTTCTCTTAACTGGAATGGGGCTTTGGATGGGTAAAAAGTGAGGTGTAGATACAACAAAAAGCTTGAGTAGGTAGCACTTATTGCTAAAATCTGCTTGTGGGCCACGTACATGCATTTAATGGCTTGGGTTTTATATGCCTTTTTCAGCTATGCTGAAAAAGTCAGTTTACATCAGTGCATTCACTCGTTTGACACCTGATTTGTGGTTGAATACAGGGCATTTACTAGGAGTTCAGAGTTTGTTTAGACCAAATTTATCTAGCAGCTGAGAGCTGGAGGGCATCCAATCACTTATTTGCATTTTTTTCAATTACGGTTCAATAGAAATCCTAAATAAAAAGCTCCTTTAATGCAAAATATTTTAGCAGAACCATGTACCTAATTTAACTATTACGCCAAAATTGCACTGTTACCTACGCCATGTGAAAGTTCACATGGTCTTATATGACACAGAATGGGAATTTATTGTCAATAAAAAACAAAGCACCGGAAAATCCATCAATTTAAAGTGAACACTGCAGCTCATCAATTTTTATGTTTCATGTTCAGAATTTTACACATTACGAACTTATTTCTAGTTTCACAAAAAGAAGGAACAGCACTGAAGAATTTAGGTCAACCATACCATGGTAGGTGTGAATTTTTTAAAATGGTTTTTCTGTTGTAAAAGTGCAAGTGGAATAAAACCACTTTCAATTACTTTCATAAGTATTTTGTGTGCCTTGCCTCTCTCCTAAAAAGCCTTCTCACTAGCAGAAGAAAGAAATCACACCGTGGAATAGGAGAAGGGGACGTGGCACAGGGAGGCTGCAAGCCACTGTCAGTGCATCTGCTTTTGGGGGTTTGGCATCTGGTGGCCTGTGACAGATGGCCCCTGCTGAAGGGGTTTGCAGCACAGAAGGTGCAGTTTCCTTGGAGTTCTGCTTGGTAGCTGAGCCATGAGCAGCAGAAGGGGAGCTGCTCTAGCTCCCTAGTTCCTAGCCCAGCCTGGAGGACAGTCCTGCCCCACCAGTGCTTTTGACCAGGGAAGGTGCCTCTCCCCTCTGCTCTTCCTGCCCAGGGCCAGCCACCTCCTTCCTGAAGCTGTAGAAACAGGGGTCCTGGATTTCAGCCCTTGCACCTGGATCTGTCAGGAGCTGTGGAAGAACCCCACTCCTCACTGGGCTGGACAAGGCAGAGCATGAAGCAGTGCATGCATTGTGCTCGAGGTCATTAGTCTGAAAAGCTTTTAACAGAGGGGCATGCTCCTAAATCTTTTCAGTCCTTTTGAAAATGTAAGCCCATGCAGCTCTCTGGAAAGCCCTGATGGGATTTCCTGACAAAGCTGAACTTATTTCCTGGCTCCTATCAGACCATGGGAACTTCTTTATTTTTCTCTTTCTTTTTTATGTTTTTTTCTTTTAATTGTCTGAGAAACTGACTTTCAAGAAATAATAGGGGTGGTTAGCTCATGATGCAATTGTCACTGATTTCATTTTTTGGTGAAGTATCCGGTAAAAGAGTTAGTAAAAGGAGACTGAATAATGAGGTATGTATTTCAATGAGTCAGTGTCTACCAGGAAAAAACACCTAGAAAACACAGCCCAGCAAGTAGTGTTTGCCTATTACGTCCCAGAGGTTTTTGCAGGAACCTCTTCTCTTGAAATGTAGATTGTCTTCAAGCCCCTGTCTTCAAACAAGGCTTTCTGTTTTTCCAGAAGTTGTCTAAGTCTTTTGTTTATAAACCCAAAATCCCATTTTTCATCTTACCACAGCTTTAAACGTGCCTTACATCTTTCTGGTACCCTCTGACCAGTGTCCTTGGAAGCTGCTGCTTCAGCTCCAGCTGTTCCTGTTGTTAGCTCTGAGAAGCTCTGCAGTGACTGCCTGGTTCAGGATGGTGCTGCCCAGACCAGAGCAACAGGAATGTCAGGTCTGATTAATTCCTCCCAGCAGACAGAATCTGCCTTGCTCAAAAGGGTGGAAAATAAGTGTTACCCACCTCCTTAGGCTGCCTTTTGTGGCAGCGCTGCAGCCACGCCGTGGGTCTGCCCCGTGCCAGGGCTGGCACAATTGTACCTTCTCAAGAAAGTTTTGCACGTGTGCTCCTCAGTGCCCACACTGGGAATGCTTCTCTATCTCCCTGAAATGGTTGTTGAATTTGTTTATGCTTCTGCTGCTGCCTTGTTCCTCTTCGTGCAGGGCTGGAACAGAAGTGAGAGGCTGAGCTGAAGGTTAGGCTGGGCCTAACCTAACAGAAAGATGGTAAAAGCCATCATTAACTGCTCCTCATTTTGCCACGTCTCAGGTCTAATCTTCTGATATTTAAACATTAATATAAGCAGGAGTCCTTCAGCCAGTTCCTGTGCAATACTGTCATTACACGTGCAGAAAAATTGTTTCCTTTCCCAAGGTACCAGAGACAGCCTTGGTATGAACTACTGGCTATGCAGAAGTTTCTGACTAAATTTATAGTCAAATTTAGTTTCAAATAGTTTCAAATTTATATCCCTTTTTATATCAGAATTTGGCTACTGATCATGTGGTTTCAAAAAAGTGATAGTTCTGCATCTCCCCAAGTTGAGCCACACTGCATTTGATTACATTATCAACAATTGTTTTAATTTTTACCTACGGAACAGACAACTCATAAAGAGGACTGACACCATGTGCAGTAGAATTCTTTAGTGCTCATTTTCTCACCTGTTTTAATTGTGTGCATTTCTCTGATGTTTTAAGAGACATTTGAAGTGCCTCGTAAAGCAACAGGAGTTTCTTCCAGCTTGCAACAAGACCTTGTTGAACTCCCACTACATTTACTCATAAAATAGTAATTAATTATGCCTAAGTTCTTTGTATGAGGCACTGCAGTGCTGGAATTCATATGAAGAAGAGGAAGAAGCACAAGCAACATCAGCTTTACTCAGTAACTGGCAATAGCCATGGTCTGGTTGAAGACTGCCCCAGCAGCCTCTCCAGCAGTGCAGAGGGATTGTGCTGACTGGGGACAGGACCTGCTGCCAGGAACCTCTTGGAGACTGGGCATGGCCCAGTGTGTAACTCACAAATAACCCTGGCATTGCCAGACTGCAGATGAATTAGATACAAGGTATGTGTTAACTGCAAACATACTGAGTAATAGGTATGTACAATTTATTTAAAATACTTTTTAACATATAAAACCCCCTCACTATCTATACAGTCTAAGTCCTAGCAACATATACAAATACTGAGCAACTACAATACATGCTGAGGTAAGAACATACATTCTGGGAGAATACTCAAGCCAAACAAGATTGAAATACATTTTATACATGTCTTCACATATAAGAGAGACCCATGAAACGTACCTTTGCTTTATTGTACAGGGAAATTCTAATCTTAGTGTCATGCAATTTAAACCCAACTGTTAGATGTTCAAATGTATCTTAGCCCTAGCAGAAAACATATCCAACGTCATAAGCAAGAGCAAAGCCTGGGATCAAATTTCTTCCAAAAAGGGGCTTAAATTTTAAAAACGTCCATTTCTTTAACATGCTTTATGTTATGATAATGAAGTTGCATTATGTTTGCTAAAAAATAACCCACTGTGGAGAAATACAGCGGGTATTACAATGGGAAATAGCTTAGTTCTTACACCACCTTAGCCTTCAGCTATCCACAGTTCTACCATTCCTGGTATGCAGTAACAATTAAATCCAGGTGTGTTATTTATACTGACATCCATTTATTTTATGGTAGATTAATTTTTTTAAGCCCAAACTGGTACAGGTTGAGAATGGAGAAGATTCTTAAGTTGGCTATAGCTGTATTGTCACATCTTACTGGAAACTAACACCCCTTGAAATAAAATCAGATCAGATACAGATATTTTCAGTCACAGCTGCTGCTGATAGCTAGGAACAGTCACTTACCTGTTTAAGCAAATTTACGAAGATTGCAGACTAGTTTTGTCAGTCAGAAAAAGTTGTAGTAACATAAAAGTACAATCATAGGCAGGAATTTGCTGTTCACAAATGGGTTGTATTTACCATCCTTACATTCACATTTAGGCTTAAGACACCAAGCTCTAAAACAAATAATTAAAAAATTTCATTCTCAATGAATGAGAGTGAATGATCAGAAATTATAGAACTGGACTTTAAGGTAGCACAGAGAATGTTCAGCATCTTTCTTGGTGCTAGGGACAGTGGGAATGAGCACATCCTCAGTGAGTTTGCCCACAGCACCAAGCTGTGAGGTGCCATCAGCATGCTGGAGGGAAGGGATGCCATTCAGAGGGACCTGGACAGGCCTGAGGGCTGGCAACTCTTGGAGCTGAACAAGGCATTGTCGTACACCTGGGTCAGGGCAATCCCAGGCTCACAGACAGGTTGGGCAGAAAAGTGACTGAGAGGAGCCCTGCAGAGAAGGACTGGGGGTTGATGGTTGATGAAAAACTCAACATGAGCCAGCAGTGTGCTCTCACAGCCCAGAAAACCAATGGGATCCTGGGCTGCATCAAAAGAAGCATGGCCAGAAGGGTGAGGGATTCTCCTCTATTCAAGTGAGACCCTACCTGCAGTGCTGCATCCAGCTCTGGTGCCTCCAATGTAAGAAGGACATGGAACTAGTGGAGCAAGTCCAGAGGAGGCCACTAGGCTGTGGAGACAGGCTGGGATGGCTGGGGCTGTTTAGCCTGGAGAAGAGGAGGTTGTGTGGAAACCACATTACAGCCTTCCAGTATCTGAAGGGACCCATAGGGAAGCTGGACAGGGATTCCTTGTCAGGAACTGCAGTGACAGGACAAGGGGAAATGAGTGGAGACTTGAAAGAGGGGAATTTTAGGTTATCTAAAAGGAAGAAATTCTTTACTGTGAGGATGGTGAGACACTGGAACAGGTTGCTCAAAGAAATTATGGATACCTCATACCTGGAAGTATTCAAGGCCAGGTTCAATGGAGCTCTGATCTAGTGGAAGGTGTCCCTGCCCAAGGCAGGGGATTGGAAGGAGATGATCTTTAAGGTCCTTTCCAACTCCAGCCATTCTATGATTCTAGGTATAACCATATTTTAGATGCTGAACAGGCCACAAGTGATTTTTGACTGCAGAGTTTATATATAGCCCCTGTGCAAAGAGATTTTCAGGGATAAGTGAGGATGATGTACTGGTGCTAAGGCATGGTGGCAGCCCCCTGAATGGAGCCCACTGCAGCTCCATTCAGACGTTGTCCACAGCATTTAAGGACCTGGGCAGTAAACTAGGTTTTGAATTGCATCACAAACAAACAGTAACCCCTGAAGTCCATAAAATAGGCTAATGTGCAGGGAGGGGGTCCACATGTACAAATTGATTCAGCATCCTTAAAATAGTGCTGTTAGAATAAAAATACAGCATTTCTATAGAGGGGTTTTCTACTTAGGTAAGAAAGCTGTGCTTTTTTTTCTAACAAGATAAAAAATGGCAAATATGCCTTTCAGACTGTTTTCATTTTGTGATTACCTAGCTAAAATGAGTTTACATTACCCCAGTAAATGACTGGCTGCAATGTTTTCATAGTACAGAACACTGGAACATTCAAAGGATGGAAATTCCAATAAATAAGTCTGAAATGGACACTCTTTGGAATAGCACTGGTTCTTTTGCAAAGGTTTTGGAATCTTTCATGCTTCTAATAAGAACAATAATAAAAAATCCCTAAGGCTAAATTTGGCAGTTGTGCTAAAACGTACCATATGTGCTAAATGCATGTCTAACACAAACTGTGCACCATTAGAGTATCTGTGCTTCCTTAAGCACTCACTAAAGTATGTACAAACCTTTTTTTGTATAAGGTCAAACCTGAACCCAGGACGTTCTCAGGGAGGACAGGGCAAGGCCTTTCTTAATTCAAGTCACCTCCAAGACCTGAATGCTTCTTGCACTGAGCATCAGGGAAGTCTGACCTGGAGGCAGATGATATTCAAGTAGCCCTCACAAGCATAGGGAATAATGTAAAAGCAGTTGCCAGGTAGTTTGCTTGTGTCAGTCTGTGCCTCCTGGATCCCTAGGAAGGAATACGACTGAGTGGCTTAAGAAGAGGCCGAAAAGAGATAATACAAGACAGCAGCTTCTAGTTTTGGAAGGCTAACCTAACCGAAAAGGCAGGAACCTTCTGAGGAACACACAGCTGAAAATTGCCAAATTCCGTTAACAAAAGCTGAACTAATGTAATTCAGAATCAGAACTATTTTATGCCATGAAACTAATTTTTGCCATCAGTCCTGATAGCAGCTTGCTAAGTCCAAAGTTGTGCAGACATTTTACAATGAAAAGAAGAATTTTAGAAGCTCTAGTGCTTGCACAGAAATTAAAAGCTTTGGGTATTGACATGGGGTTTTTTCCCCCCAAATACAGTACCATTAGAAAGAAATAACTGGCTTTTGCACTTAAGCTGTTTCTCCCAATTTATCACTCAAATCTATGAATTACTGGTGCTAGTTGTGAAGAGTTCTTCTCTCATATCTTCCAGACAATTGTACAGTAGCAATAAAAAAAGTCCATGGTTTTGCAGGAGACAAGCTGTTAATTGTCACACAGCTTAAGGAAAAGCAGAATTACTGTTTTCCCAGACCTCCCATACCACGTCTTTTGGTTCAACGTTGTATTATTTAAGACTAACAATACCAAATCAATGGAATTAAAAAAGTGAAGCTGTGAGCTTTAAGGAACTGGCTTTTAGAAACAAGCCATCATTCTACCTTACTCATGAGCTAACTTTGTTCATCCTTACTCACAGTGGGATGGGCCACGCTCTGCGGCACCTGGTACACAAGTTGGTCAGCACTGCCTGGCCCCGGCTGCCCCTTTGGTATATCGTACAGTGCCTGTGCTGAGGATGCACTGTCTGTCCTGGATAACAGTTTATTGCACGTTCCAACCAGTGGAGGAGCTTGATTCCCTGCAGCTTTGAAGGTGGAAATGGAAGGAGCACCAAGAGGTGTGCTGGGATGGCTGGACATGTCCATGATTATGGGAGTCGCGTACTCGGGTCCGGTTACGGGCAGTGGCTCGGCGTAGGCGTGGTAAACTTCTTGGATGGGGGAGTTGTAAGGGTCCAAGTCAGCATAACTGGCTTCTTTTCCTTCCTCTGGTTTGAAGGTTGATCTCTGGTGAAGCGTGCCCACAATTCCCCCTACCAGGGGTTGAGCATATTCTGCGTTACAGGCACCAACAAAACAAAACACAAACACACTGGGGTTGTTTTACAGCGGCATCACATTAAATACAACCTGTCAATAGTCTCCCAGAGATCACTATCCGACATCAAACCAGTGCTCCATCTCTGTCCACCACTGCCAAAGCTTTGGAAAATGATTCCTTTCACCCATAGGTAAAGCCATTGAGATAGCCAAAACCAAAACATCCCCACTTCTCAGGTTTATACTTCTTCCCAGGTGGGCTGCACTTGGGCTGCAAATCTCCCTGAAAATGTAACTGACTAAAATGTTCTTCTATTTACATTAGATTTAAATAAAATTATTCTGCCTGGATCTTGATGAAAAGTGGTCTGTGGGGTAGAAAGGTTGCCCTTTGAGAGGGGAAGCCTGCATGTAGTCTGAGATGTTTTAGCTGAACAGATAATCCGAGTTACAAAAGCTGGAGGTAAAAAAAGCCTGACTATCTGGGTAAACACAGACAAGCAGCCAAACAAGAAAACTAATTCTGCCTGCAGTGAAGCTGTAATTCCTGCACATCTGCCCAATTCTGCCATCAGCAGGTAAGCGCAGAACCAAAGGCACAGTCAGTCACCCTCCTCCCACGCCTGGCTCACCAGGGAAAGGGCATGTGCCACTATCCATAAACCCTCCTCTTCCAGGCCACAAGTATGATTTAACCATATAAGTGAGGGTGGGGAATCAAATGCCACATTTCCAATTTGTGCATAAAAATACTGTGATGAAATAATTTCCAGTGCATGAAAATATAACCAGAAGAATTCTTTCACCCTTCACAAGGTTTAAAAACAAATAAAGAACCTTTCAGTTACTGCATTAACTTGGGCAAGTGTCTATCTATAGCACATGAAATGAGAGAACACGAAGAAACCTGCATATTAAGAGATATGCCTACCCACAGAACTACTAATTTCTCCTCTGTACCCTCCAAAACCGGGAAATAATTAAATGTAGCCAAATTCTTTCCAAAAAGATTCCTGACATTTTTTGGGATGTCATTCATATACATATATACACACATATATATAAAACATGGCCCACAAAGTACCTGCAGACTCTGTTTGCAACATTGTTGGGACTTCTCTTGCTCTTAGGTGACTGATTTCACTGCTGCTGTAGCGTACAGGAGTTTCTTCATGTTCTGCTGATTTGGTCGGGAAAAACTGCTTCATCCCTTTCCACCAACCTTCACATGGATTAAAAAAAAAGCAAAAAAACCAAAAAACCAAGATTGCATATGTACTCTGTTTTAAGCTACTAAAATATTTTTCAGCACAGCTTGTATTTTGTTGAAGCAGGTAAAAGAATTAAATTATCACTCTTTTGAGTAATACCCTAAGATGTCACAGCTGTGAGCTATCAGAAACAGACATTTAGCAAATGAAAGTGATTAAAAAGGTTCCTTTTCCAAAGGGCAAAACATACTTAAGATTACCAGTGAGCAGACACTGGTGTGCAAGTTTTCAACAGAGGCCAGAGAAGCGAAGCACAGTCACACAGCAGTACCAGCCCAAGTGCTGCAGCTGCCCTTTGCACCTGGGGCATGGGTGGTTGGTTTCAGGATCGTTGCAAAGAGCTGCCTGGTGCAATTGTCTGATCTTAAGTTTGTGAGGCACAGGACAGTTAGATGGAAGGAAGATATACTTAAATCCCACATGCTTACTAGGGCAATGAAAACAAAACTTTTGAGCCAACATACATTAAGATGAAAGTTTTTCCCAGGACAAAAAATTACCAAATAAATAGCTATCAAATGTATAGAGGCATTCCTTATAAATTAATTTCCCCCCTCATGTTGTATAATTAAAAGGTTTTCTATTTTGTTCACAAAAAACCTTGAAGTGGTCAGATCTAATAGGAGACACAACATTTACTATTTCTGAAAAAAAGAAATTGGAGAAAGAAGCAGTACAATTAAGTTGGTCCAAAAAACAAATTCAGTTTGTTATGCCTCCCTCAGCTAGCATTAGAAAAGCTTCTAATGAAAACTAATGAAAGCTAATGAAAATTGTAACTGCAATCTGAAATATACATTGAACAAAAAAACACTGAGCAAATGGTTTCATAAAATCATTTTGTTACCTGCACGATCCCAGTAAGGAAGATCATATGTACCCTCAGTTTTTTTCTTGCTGTAAAAAAAAAAAAGAGAAGAGGAGTTATTTTAACTAGTCTGCTTATCAAAAGATGCACTAATCAATGCTCAGCAACTATCACCTTGGCTGTAACTGGATCTCAAATTTAATGTATAAGCACCAGTAACCTGGCATGCCATCACCAGTCTGCCGCTAACAGAGTAACCAGTTTTCAGTCAAAGCACTTCCAATGAAAACAGCTACAAAAAGCTGTTTTGTCCTCACAAGTCAAGTGAATTTTTTCTCAGAAATAATGCAATTCTTTCCACACGTGCAGACCACAGAGTTCCCACAGCAATACATGCAGCATTTCATTCCCACACACCAGGCTAACATTCATGTAAAGCACTTTCATCCATCTATTCATTTACCGGTTTCTCCAATGCCACGCACAAACTAAGATAAGAATCAGAGTAGTGAAGACCATCACCAGCACTGGAACCAGAACTGCTGCCAATGCCACATCTGAAAGCCATTAAATTAAGTGGTGTCAGACAGAAAGAGCTTCTCATAAATCAGTTTTTGATTTGAAAATTACTTGGGTAGAGCACACAGTTTTCACATTTAGTGTCTATCACACCAGATCCCAGCTAAGCTACTCTGCTGGATGCTCCCACAGCACAAAATTCATTAACATCTGACTCTTCTACATGCATGCACAGCTGGTGGTTTTTGCAGGGGTTTTCATCAAAATCAACCAGGTTTTTTTTAATATATGGTTTTCCTGTTACAACAATGTATTCTGTTATTTATGCAGAAAATCCCTTAGTGCCACCATGTAAGTTCAAACCTAGTTTAAGAAGTAAATTTCATAGTACCTTAACAGTTAATCCAAATCAGTCTGTGCTGGTTCTGTGTGTGTGATCCTGTCCCCTGCCATCCAAAGGACACTTCAGCAGTGCCCATATCTGCAGTGATTTTGCTCCCTTTTCTGACCATTGTCTTTGATAAACAAAATGATTATGCCAGGTGACATTTTTCAAATTTCATGTCAAAAAGACTGCTCCAGAAAAGATTTGCTGTATCAAAGGTGTTTTGTTCTAAGAAAGTATTAAATAAATCAGTTACACCTGATTAAATCAGAAGGGAAGTCCAAGTTCCAATTTCTCCTTCTGAAAATGTTTGTTCAGTGATCAAAAGTTGAACACCATTTGAACAGGTTCTGGAAGATGGAACTATTATATATCTATAAAATATATATTGTGTGTACAATTATATTACATATATTACTTGGCAGATTGGTTTTGATTCTTCATGCAGCATGCAACTGCACATCTTTTGTCATATATGTATATAATAACTGGTAAATACTAGAAATAAAATATTGATCATCTGCTGCAATTTGTTAAGTCTTGAGAAAATTTCAATGCAGAAAGCAAATTTAATATATGCCAAAGCACTGTAAGGAGTTCCAAACATTTTTACTGTTTAATGGTGGATACCTTTGGTTACACTTGGAGTCACTGTAGTGTTTTTTATTTCAGGTGTGAAAGTTGTTTTATCTGTCTGCAGAGAAGTCTTCACTGAATGAATGAATTCATCCACAAAGTCAGCATTCTTCTCATCATTCTTGTTCTGAGGTGGTGCTGGAAACGTGATTTTAGGAGCACGACCTTCAGAAGAAAAGAATGTATAAGGTAAGTTCTTTGGAGGGCTAGTTTTCCATATCTCCTTTTCAGGAGAAGACAGCTGGAACAGTTTGCTATAAAGCTTTTGTTCATGTTATATAAGGAAAGTACACACACCCTCTCCCCTCACAAATGAATGATATGGAAAGCAAGTGATTGGCATCTTTTAACACATTTATTTTGTAAATTCAGTATTTTCCTGGGTAAGTGTAGTAAGTTTTGGATAAACTGAGAAGTACCAGCTAAAGAAGGATTATGCCGCCAAGAAGTACTTCAGACTCACTGAAAATATACCCACGATATAACTTTTAACGTTAGTAATTTCATTTACAACCTTAATAGTTTCACTTGTCTTGCACTGTTGAAAGTTTTCAGTTGTCTTACCTATACTAAACTGACATCCTAGCAATTCTACTTTCATTGCAATTTTCTGGTGCCATTTTATGGGGTTAATCCTAAGAAAACGTGCAATAATAGGTGGAATGAAATTATTGCGAACTTCCTGGTACAATTCAGTATTCCCTTGAAATACCTAGAAAAGAAGAGGGGAAAAAAAGAGAGAAATATTATGTTCTACAAATACAACAGCAACAGAGTAAGTACTACCAATTTTGATGTTTTAGTTAGGAAGAATAAACAGCAAGGGATTCAATTCACCCCAGAACAGTGCTGCTGCCTGCACTTGTCCACTCCCTTGGCCCCATTACATTTACAACTAAATAAAACAAAGAAATGTGTGTGCACATGGATGCACATTCAGAGTAAAGGTACCATGGGATATCCTCCTGATGCTCCCCAGGTACAGCCTGCTGTTACACACATCTCACGTGTTCATGGCACTGAGTCATTCTTAACTCCTTCTTGGTATTTTACACTTACTCTTCAAATATAGATGGATAGCAAGGAGCTGTGGCACTGTGCAAGCTGGAATTAAGGGGTGCCTTCACACAGCCTAGCAGTTCAGCACAGCCTGGCTGAGGATGGTATTTATTAGAAAGCACTGGAGGCACCCTCAAGTGTGTAACCAACCACACTGTGCTCTCGTGGCTGCAGCCTACAAGTGCTCAGCCGCAAATAGGAGAATTTGGGTTCAGAATGTGAAAGCTCTCCTCAGTCTCACACTGAGCCATGAGGTTCTGCAAGAGAAGGGTGCAGACTTTGTGTGGGGGATGAGCTCAAGCTGGTCCTTCACTGCCATCCTTGCACACACAACAAATGTAACAACACACGAGTCTGGCTCGAGTTTAAAAGCAGTGAGAGGAGTCCCTGTGAAATTCAATGTAAGCACACTGACAGATTTACAGCCAACCATGGCTTTTTCACCCTCAAGCTGCTTAAAACAATACAGCAGCTTGGCCCAGTACTCCAACCTTCCGTCTCCTTCAGGAAGAGTGGTTTGGCACCATATCTTTTGGTAGGAAGTGAGCTGCCTCTCCATGTTAGTGCACAGCAGTGGGGCTTTGGCCCTGCACATGCAAATCTGTGGTGCTGCTGCAACACAGGTCACCACTGGCATGACAGCAAATTACTTCTTTCTTTTGAAGCACTGATACAGACACTGCAAATCATGGTGGATGCAATGTAAAACAGAATTGTGGCACATGCCTGAAAAAGTCAGTATTACAAGGAGTTTTCTTCGCACTCACACTGCTTGGTAAGCAATAAAGCACATTCTTAAAGACAAGCACTGCATTGTGCAACAGCTGAATGTGTCTGCATAACATGGAGCAGTCAAGAGTTCTTAGCACATCTCTGATCAATACAAATCACTGCTGTTTCAATCCTGATACACAAGAGAAGAGATTTCTGTATTGCACCGCTGAGTTTTTGAACAAAATGTCTAGAATATCCCTAGAGGCCTGAAATAATTATTCTAGGAAACTATCCATTCCAAACAAATTCCTGCTCAGAATTTAAGCTTCTTGTTCTTAAATACATTCAGTAGCAACAAATGAAGACACAGTAAATGCAGGGGCAAGCCCATGACATTATTTTGGAAATAAATTAATAACACCAAGTAGCTGAAGTTCATGTGCCCACAGCAGACTGGGTTCCAATTTACAGCCACTTTTCCTGAACTACTTTTTTTTTTTTTTTTTTATGACAGGTTTGTAGCTAGAGATCTCACCAATTAATTTTTTGTTTTGGTAAGGATGCAAGTGAGAAGCCAAATAGAGAGGTGACTTCCTGAGGGGATGCACCCAGACTGAATTGCTGCACTGTACCCTTGCTCATGCTGGGCCTGCCAGAGCCCAGCACCAAAAGAAGGCACGTCTGGCTGCCCAAACAACACATGCAGATGTTACAGATGCCTAGCTCTGAAAGCTGAAGCTCATGTCAGGTTTCTAAAACTGAGCATGTAACAGAAAGGGCAAAAAGAATCAACACCAACTACTACCTTCAAGAAAGATTAACAGTAAAGATTTTTACTCCAGGCTTTTATCAGTCAAGCTTTTGATGTTGTGTTACAGAAGTAGCTTAACTTTACCTGTAGCTCTGTATTTTCTGTTACCATAAATTTTGCATTTAAAAAAATTTGTTTCTGAGCTCAATACAGCACTAACTTTTTAATGAGAAATCACTCTCATATTCTTTTTATTATCAAACTCTTTCCATTTCCCTCTGTGCTGTTAAACAAAGCTTTTCCAACACCGCAACTCTCATTTGTCCTTTTTCCCCAATTCAAGCATTTACTCATTTTTTAATACATGATAAGCTAAAAGTTTTTCTTGAGTACTTCCAAATCTCTAAAAGGTATTTGCAAAAAAGACTACAGGAAAATCTTGGAAAAGCCTCTAGTCTCCTGAAAAACGTTAGGAATTCCAAACATGTTTCAAAAAACCAGGGACTATCACCTCCCAGCTGGTCTGGCATGTTAAAACGGAGAAGCCTGCAAGCAGATGCATCCAAAAGCAAATCTGTATCAAGTGAAGTGATGGCAGAGAGAGAGAAAATCTGCTATTTTGATGCAGAAAAACAGAACCATTTTTTCTGTCTTTAACTACAGCTGCCAGCTCCTGGGTACATATGATTCTTCATGCCCTGTCCCTTAATGACACACAGAGCACAAAGAAAGATCTGTTGCCTGTAATTTCAGATGCAACAATTTATTTCATTTAATGAGCATGCAAGAGGAACAATGTGCTCAAATTCAAGGCAATAACTGCAAAGTTTTTTAAAGAAAATTGTCAAACCCGCACTGAAGCCTAAATCTAGGCAGCTTGATAACTAAGATCTTAGTTTATGGCCAGAAGAGGGCACTCAAAACTAGAAAATATGATGGTTTTCCCCTTTTTTTTTCTTGAATACTTCACACCAACAATCACTTTAGTTCACATGTAGGCTCAGACCCAACAGTAAATTCTCCTCCTCTCTTCCAAGAGTTTCCTATTGCAATTATGTTCAGTGTTAAAAATCTCTTAACAAACTTCAGCCTTTTACTTCAACAGGATGATACATATCCCCTTGAAACATGGTTAAGCCAGAGTAAATACATGACCAAGGACAGCCAAAGTGACCATCCTTAGAACCTGTTTCTAAAAAACTACCAGACTAGTAGTTAGTTACATGTGCTTAATACCACAGGCCTATAGAACCAAGATAGATTACATCCAAGGATTTTAAGAAAAAGAAGAAAAATCTAGTTCCAGTCACATTACTCAGAATCTTGTCATTTCTTTAATAAAATCTGATCTGAGCCACCTGGAAGACATGAATTTCCTCATTTTTACTATTAAATATTAAATATTGCATAGCTATAAACATGGGGAAAATAAGATTATCTTGCTGCTAACATTAGGGCCTTTCCTATGTGGCAAAACATTTGCAATCTGAACATACCCCTCCTTCTGCAAGGGGGGTTCTCTTATATAAGAAACTTAACAGTATTTGGTTAACAACTAAGATTGACAGAAACATTAGAAAAAAATTATACAACCCATAACAGTTATTCTGTAACCATAAGAGGATAAAAAAAAAAATAAAGCTTAATTTTAAAACATATAACTTATTTTAAAAGAAATAGAATTATTCTTGAAGAGATGCAGTACCAGAAAATGTACCACCGGCAACAGAATTTTCTTGTATAGAATATTGTCTCCCCGAATAAATAATAAATCAACAAATAATAAAGAATAAAGAATAAAAATAACATCTGAAATTTAGAACTGTTCAAATCCTTACATATTTGCATATTGCCATATTTTCTTCAGCTTATCAGCTGTTTACAATTCAAAATATGACTGAAAATAAAAGTTATTTAATGATTTCTCACCATACCAAAATGACTTGTATTTACAACTGTGAAATCCCCTTAGAACATACCTAGAAAGCATGTGGCATTTTTACCTTATCTTTACCCATGCCAGGTTCTCTGTACACTGTCCACTTCTGTGCATCATCACTGTATAAAATTCTGTAGGCTGAGACATAATAGTAGTGCTCTGCTAAAGTTGATCCAGTAGTTATAATACCTGTGAAAATTGAGGCACCCAGTTAAGACAAAAAACTGGTACCACTTTGTAAAAATTAACAGATCAGTTCTTGAATCCAGAGTTGTATAGTGGAGAGTCTTAACTGGTCCAGTTAACTTCAAGAAGTTTATCCAAAGTGCCAGGGTCTGAATCTTCCACAGTGACTGAAACTTAGTAAACTTATTTTATTTAGTCTGTATTTTAATTTTCATGGTATAATCTTGTAAAGCCCTTCCCCTCCACCCCATTCCTTGATGGAAACGGCCCCTTTGTTTGGCCACAGCTCACTGCTGTCTCCAGCTGCTGACACAGCTCTTCCCTGCTCTCGTACTGCCAGCCTCAAGGCACCACTGAAAAAACTGCAGCTTCCTACAGCCGACGCTGCAGCACAGCTCACACAGCAAAGCTGTTTCGGAAAAGCTGGTTGGCACAGGAATTAAAGGAGTAATGCAAAATCCAAGGAGTCCCCAGGGAGGCAACAACAAAGGCCACTGGTAAATCCAAGTTGCTTAATGACAGCAAGGCATGCTGCTGATAGCAGGGTGTGCAGCTGAGGTTACAGAGACCAACTCGGGCATTTTGGAATGAGACAAACGCAAACTGATCAGCAGAACACGTTTCACAATAGCCTTAAAGCCCCAGATGCTATGAAACACTCCACCTAAATCCAATTTAATTTTGATTTACATTGGATGACAAACATGTCCATTAACAACAGCAAATCACCTCTGAAGGATTAAACCAGGAAACACTAACACTGGCACTGAAGGTACAACAGCTGCACAGCTACCCTGGAGATTAAAGCCGAAATGTCAAGGCCTCACGAGGATTAAACCCAAAATGCCAACACCTCAGTGCTTCCCTACTTGGAACGGGCAAGGCTGCAGTCCACGGGAACTGGTGACCATGAGCTGGCTGCTCATCTCAGAATGGACAGCAAACTATCCAGAGACGCCAGGGAAACAGCACCTCCAGCTGTGTCTGCACATCAGCATGGCTGCTAAAACCAGCCCTGTGTGAAGGAGCAGGGCCAGACCCAGAGCCTGGCCTGTTGCTGGAGTAAGGCCAGCAGAGACTGCTGGCTGGGGGGCTGCAGTCCCCAGCTGTGGGCCCAGCCCCACTGGAAGTGAGGAGGTGGAGGGGAGGCTGCCAGCTGTTCTCCTGTGTCTGCCGCCTCCTCACACTGCACTGGAAATGCTCCTTTCCCTGCTGCTGGATTCGCTGCAGCCTTGACAGGCACTAGGGAAAACCACAGAACACAACTCAGTACACCTGCACCAGAGGTATCACTGGGCTGAGCTGACTGGATTTTGATCTGCATCTCCAAGGAGACAATGAGCAGGAAAAAGGATGAATCGAGGATCCAACAAAACCACAGGAAACACTTCAACAAATTCTGATGAAAGAGACGTCTTCTACTATGAAACCACAACTCTTCAGCTCCAGGCTCCTCAGTGTATTAGCTAGGACATGGAAGTAAATTAAGTGTAATGACAAGTAAGTGCCACCTGAGCTTTATCTAAGGCCCAGCACTGGAAAAAAGGATATACGTAACCAAAAGTTTTGAATGCTGCTGAGAAGCCACATCAGATTCACTTACCTGTTATTTTCTTTTCTTTATTCAAGTCAATCTGCAACCACTGATGTTCATCATTGATAAAAGCAGCCCAAGGAGGTCCAATCCTTTTTAGTCTGGCATTTTCAGGTTTCCAAATGTTTACTTGTCCTGTTTGGTTAGGCCACTCAAGAGTAGACGACGATGTGATGTGGGAATCAGGAATCACCCCAGACTCCATCCCCAGTGTCCCATAGCAACCTGAAAAACAGAAAAGGCGAGGATTGCAAATGAGAACTGGAGTTATGCTGCTTGAATTTTAAGACTTTACATGCAAATATTAAATTGTCATCTAAATTTTTTCCATAACAACAATACCAACAAAACACACTGTCTTTTGCTTTCTAACAGGGATGCTAGAACCAAACTAGCCACGAGAATGCCATGATTTGTACCTGTTCCAAGAGTAATGAGGATATTCTGTCAGTCACCACTCACACAGAGCACTCAACAAGAAGCACTGGGGAACCAAACTGCATGGTCTGAGTATCTCTTGTTGATGCAGGAATGGGAAACATGCTACTGGTTCATTAGTTCCTTTCTTGTTTCTGTATAACTTCTTGGGTTTTTAAACCAACCCCAGGACCACAGTGTTAATTTGAACAAAACCAAAGCATGTAGGAAGTCATGTCATAATCCTGGCCTTGAGCTCAAACACATCCTTGAAATTGTTTACATTTTTCTGGTCACCATTTTTATTAAATGTTTCTTCCCATGTTGCCTTTTTTTGGTGGCTGAAAAACATCTCCTAAATTCAGGGCTAAATTTCTTGTTCTGTAATACCAATGGTTTTCCCCTCTCACGTGCACAGTCCCCAGAAGTATCAGCAGAGAGCAATCTTTGCCTTCAGTCAGGCAGGCTGAACATAGCCTAGCTTCCCTTCTCCCGTGAACTCCCCCCTCTCCCTGCAGGCCTTCTGCACCAAGGTGAGCACTCATCCCTCCAGGAAGGCAGAGTTCACGTGTGACTGGATCCCAGAGGAAGTCTTGCCCATGTCCTCTGAGATGACATTAGTAGTTGCATGTCACCTGCCACAGCACAGGATCACTTCACTAGGGGAATCCTTTCCCTCTTCAGTCATTTTCCATCTAACATGCTGCCACTTGGAAGCAAACCAATGCCTTGGTCTCTAAATACGTGCCACATTCCACTCTTTGCTCTGTGATGCTTCAGGCAATTTCTTCCAAGTCTCAAAGTCAGGCAGTTCTTCCTGTATAAGTGGTCTCATCTTCCTCTGCACTGATCATGTCTCTAACATCAATAACTCACTCCTCTACTCCATACCAAGTCATAACACCAACTGCAACAGCAGGAATATCTAAGGATCTTCACCACAGTCTGATAAACCTCACTTGAGCATACTACAGGTTTTTTTCCCCTCACCTAACTCCTAGGCAACCCAACTACAGACATTTTAATTTAGATTTGCATCTTATCTCTAGCTTATTCAGTAATTTCTCACATGTAACTGAAGTCCACAAAGTCTAGATCAGCATTTTGTCCTATCTCTTCCAATTTCCAGGCCATTTAAGTACTTTCACACACACTATCAGATCACATTGTGCATGACAAAAAAGCCCAGCAAACCCTGCCTGGATCACTGTGTTTAATATTCTTTAAGCATAAGGACACTAGATATGTAATTCCTTTTCTCAGCTCTTGCAGATGCCTGAGAAATAATTTTAATACTATGTGCATTACATTTTCTAATTTTTGCTTATTTATACATTTCCATCACCAAACACTCCTGCCCATCAGATTTTTGTCTTTATATCCCCATTCACTGTGTCTTTTATTTATCTATTACGAAAAGCATTTGTTTACTTTTAAGAAGTATCTGCATGATTTCCCCCCCTTTCTTTCTTTAACTTTATGAAAAACAGACATGATAGTTTTATGGTTTTTACTTTGTTATTAAAATAGTTAAAGAGACTAAGGATTATTTTCAACATCCACCCAAAGATGGTATTTAAAGTGACTTAAAGAAAAACTAACTTCCACTTTGGAAAAGCCTAGCTTCCACTACAGCTGATTTATTTAATTAGCCTGAAAGAATATCTTTCTGCAGATAAGCAAGTCTTACTTGAAACATCACTGTACCTATAAATTAGTGATGATTAATCATCAAGTTGACATATTAAAACAATTAAAAAATATACATTATTGAAGAATGCAGTAAAAAAAGGTCTCACAAATAAGAACCAAAATAAAGAAATCAAATATCTGCACACCTACTTCTATTCACAAAGTTTGTATGAAAGTAGTAACACGTAATACATGTGGTAACACTTACCACTGGTCTTAAAGGTGAAGAGACTTGTAGACAAGGGTCCCCTGCAGAGAACAAAAGATGATGTTTTGCAGCACCCAGTGAGAAAAATTGAAACAAACTGTCTTCAATTTATTTTTCTTGTCTGACTGCATGCCACTGAAACCTATGCGCATGTGCCTGAATAAGCACTCAGTGATAAACACATCCTGCCAGCACTTGCAGCACAAACACCTTCTCAAATGAAATCCAGTCCAGGGATACTGGGTTAGAGACTTTCAAACAAACATCTACCCAGAAAAATGCAAGTCTTCATTGAAATGCTCTCTTTTCAAATTAAGCTAGTCCTAGTCCCACAAACCCATCTCCTGTGATTGCTTTGACTTGTGGGACTTGAGATACAATGACAAGCTACACTCTTTTCCTGAAACTGAAAAGCTGCCATTAAATTACTGTTTTTCCACAGACCAGTAGGAATTTATAGCCAAGAAGATAAAAACTCCTTGCAGAATTTGGAAAATGAAAATTTCTGGTCTAGAGATTAAAGATATTCGGTAAAACAATTGCACTACAACAAAAGTGTGAGAAACTTAGAAGAGAAGAGAACCTGCCCGAGGAACATATAGCTCCGCAAGCTGAAATTAATCCCACAATGAGACACTACCAAGACCTAAGGAAATTATACTAAATACACTTACACTTTTGAGGTGACATTGTTAGCCAGGGATCCTTCATAGTATGGAATGCCCTTGCTGATCACAACATTAATTTGACCACCCAGAGTATTTGACACGACGCCTGCGTGAACACCAGCCATACAAAGTGGTGATGACTTGAAGAAGGGAGGAAAAGAAAACATTTCATACTACTAAGTGAATAAATTAAACACCACACCATATATTGTAAATGCTACACTGTCTTTGTTATTATTACATTAAAATACCATTATTCATTAACTGTTATCTTGGTTATTTAGAAACTGTTCATTTTTATTTATTATTGAATTTATCAAAATACAAGAAGAGGGCCCTACATTTCACTGTGTCCTCACCCAGATGTATTAAGACCAGATGTATTAAGAATGTAACTGTTGTAATTAAATAACCTCAAACCAACACCACGGTGAATCAGTCTGAAAAAGCCAGACAGCAAGACTCAGCCTATAATAAATTGTATTAGACAACAAAAGATGTAAATATATAGAAAACCTTTTCATAGAAAGCACATTGAAAGCATGTTTGTTTATTTTCTCACAATTAAGGGGTGAGGCACTGCAGCTGTTGTAGCTTTTAGCCAAGGGGTTGTATTTTTTATCATAACTTGTGGTTAAACATGGTTTAACCATCCAGCACTCAGATCCATGTAAAGCCACAGTAATACATGCAAACAACTCATCCTAAACAAGTCAATTATGTAAGTCAGTGGAGATCAGTAGTAAAAAATGATTTTGCAGGGTATCACGTTCTTGCCTTTTCTCCTTGGATGACAGAACCTGCTAACAAATGCCACAGTGACACTTCCCTGGCTTGCAGGCTACAGGTGCCACAGTGAGCAGCCCTCACTGCACCAGTTCCATCGGGCTTGCACATCCAGTAGGTCTGGGATCAACACAGCTCCCCTATCCATTAAAGTCAGAGCATGGGATTCTGTAGGAGATGCAACTCTCTCCTCCCTGCTCACCAGATGTCAGCAGTAAGAGCTCCAAGCCCTCAAGGACTTTGAAGGTTACAGTCTCACAGAAAAGAATCAAGATTTTTGGTATTTTTTAAAGCAGCAAACAGTTCCTGTACATTTGAAAGAGATGCATGAGAAACCTCAACCTGAAATTTGGTTTAAATTGCTGGACAATTTCATTTTCTTCCACATAACCTGACTTATGGGAAATTCTCTCACTTTTTTCAGTGATAAAGTATAGAAAGTCACAGGACATTTAATCCCTTAAATTTCCTTAGGAAAAGGTTTCATTTTTCTCCATAGAAAACAATTATTCCAGATTTTGGCAAAAAACTCCCAACAAGCAGAACTCCTACAGATGCCATAAATTTGTGAGGCAGAGAATCAATTTCATCTTGTTAACAAAAATTACCTTGTAAACACTTAGTGAGGACTTACTGGGGACCAGAAAATGTAACACAATTACTCTGTGGTGACATTTTTACATGGGTGTGATTATTTAAGCAAATAGCCTGGGATTTAGAAATATTTGGAAAAAAAAACCAAAACCCATACAGGGACATTTTAATTATTTTAGTATTTAATACTAAAATCTGCGGTTACTAACATTTTTACATTGTCTTACCTCTGTGCTAGATCTAAGGGCTTATTAAAAGAGTATTTTTAGATAGAAACCAGGGAGTTAATGTAACTTTTAGTAGATTGCTAGCAAAATTATAATCACTTAAAAATAAACAAAGTGAACATCCTCCCATCCTATGGCAATTCATTAACTGACCTGCAAAGGCTTACATTAGAAAAATATTGTATAGGATTTTACAGTGTCTTAAGTAAAGATGCTCACATTATTAAAGACGCTCACTACCAATTTATAGAACTACTGTTACAGTATTAAATTTGTTTTGCAAATTATTTTATAGCTGCTGAGCATAAACAGTATTTCATCTCTCAATTGTAACAAAAAATAAGATAACCACTAAGACACTGCTGGAAGAGGCATTACATTGTTAAAAACAAAGAGGACATCATTAAAATTATCTAGTTCTTCCTTTATTAATCTCAATCTCCCAGCCTGAGAAAACCAACCAGAAGAAAACAAGAGCTAGAAAAAACCCCACTCTTTTGATTGATCCACCCTTCTCTCCAGGATTTATGAAAGTACTTGAGACCCCACTAGACTACTCCACTTCTTAGAGATGGCAACATCTGAAGCACCTGCATTTAGCAGCAGTGCCAAAAACTGAGTACTGTGTTACTCACTTTCAGGAGGTACATGGTATTTTTACTTACGTCTCTGTATCCATGAGGAATAGTGCCTGAAATATCAGCAAAAGGAATCACACATCCAGCTGGACAATACTTACTGAAAGAGAACAAAATATCAAGTCAGGACTTGCATGCAAATCTCAACTCTCTTACTGTTATAAAAAAGTTATGGTTTTGATTTACAGCACTCTTCTATTCAGTTATCACTATGTAATGATATCTCCTAATTGAAGACCTATCAAACCAGACTGAAAATACTCACAAGTCCACAACAGGAGAAGAGACATTTAAAAATGTTTTAAAATAAGTCTCAACTGAAAGTACAGTTCACAACAGGAGAAGAGACATTTAAAAATGTTTTAAAATAAGTCTCAACTGAAAGTACAGTTCCAGGCTCAATATGATGAGCTAATAATGCCAGCATTTTATAATATGAATACTACATGGCTCCTGTAAATTCAAAGTCAGATAAGTAACAATATTAATGAATTTTATTTTATGAAAAAGAGACCTGCATATCTATTTGTTTTGCACCCTTAAATAAAGCATCTGAAAATATTGCTATTTTTAACAGCTTTTGGCAATGCTTTGACCATAAAAAACTGGCCAAATTACCACTAGCTAATAAAAAGCAAGAGGCAAGACACTAGCACCACTGGATCAAGCCTGTTCATGTTCTAGGGCCATTTCATACTGCACACATGAAAATTATTACATCTTCAAGAGCTAAAAGTAAAGTGGAGTAAACTCATCAACATTTTCCCCACAGCTCAGCAACAGCTGAAGTGATGCTGTAGGTTCCATGAAAGCAGGGGGATTCAGAGACTTTGTCACATGTTGACTAAGGCCAGAACCTACAACTGAAGCCCTGTTTTGGAACCTGGGAAAATGAAGGAGAAATGCAAAGGTTGTGCTTTGAAACGTTTCAGTTTGCCACAGTTTAAGTTCTCCAAAAGGCAAGCTTAGATACTTCACAATAGTCTGCAGCTTTAAACATTGGCCTTGCTTTAGATGGAAATGGGGAAGGAGACAAAAGGGAAATGACACATTTTCCCCTTCAGAATGTACAGCAATCTGTGTCTCCACAGAACCTCATTAATGAGCACCCAACTGTGAAATGGGTTTGCAATTTCTAACACGTGTCATCATTTAGTACTCCTTAGGTAACTGTAATACAAATTTCAGTAATTAAGTTGTGTACCTTCTATAATATATTTGTAAAAACAATATTCTTTCCATGAAAATGAGATATTAACTCCCATGTGTTAGTGCAAATTAATGAGGTTCTACTGTATACTGCATGTAAGGAACACAAATGGGAGAGACAGAAGGAGGAAGGATGAGTGCAAATCTCAAAATTCTTCAGCTCTAACCCTAATTAGTTTGTGTCTCAAGTTCTCTGGATGGCAAATTTTCAAGCTGCGTCAGAATACGTAACAAAGCAGAGACATTAAAATTACTTCATTAAATAGACTGGGAGGGAAACAGGTAAAAAACAATCTTACTTGAATTCCGGTTCGGAAAAGTGACTTGCATTGTCTAAACAGGTAATTAAGTCTGGAAAGAAAAAAGGTTAGGTCAAAAGGATGATAAAGACAACAAGCTTGAATATGCTTTTTAAAGTGCACAAATACATACATTTGAGACTCTGAGGCTTAACTAAAAGTGTCAGAATGAAAAAAACACATTACTACTAAATTTTCTTGCAACAGATTTTGCATTACAGTAGAACCTTGCTAATTTGTCTGAGTAACTGGGAAATCTACTGAGAATATGACGTAGCACTACAAAAATTCATTTTTGGTGCAGCTTAATTTTAATTTATAACTATATTTCAGAGATAAATCAGAGACAGAAACATATGGTCTTTTCACAAAATTAAATTAATAAGCTAAAGAGGCCTGTGCTTTTGTCATTTAATGGTTCTGCAGAGCTGAACACAAGCACCACAGAGAACAAATGTTACAATGCTGCATTACTGGCATCCATGACTGATACCACAAATTTCATGTTTGTGTTTGCTGTGTATCAACACATACAGTCCAAAATACAGAGAGGAATGCATCAAAAATCCTACAAAATTAAAAACTGAAACTCTTTATCTTTTCAGATTAACTTCCAGATAGGGTTTTTGCCTTCTGAGGCAGTTGCTGCTGCTCCTTCATTTCCTTGCAGACCACGTATATCACTCACCTTTACAATGAGTGGGAGGAGATGCAAAACAAATACAGTAACCTTTTCAGAGGCTTAAAAGAACCAAAACCAGGGGGAAAAAAACTAAGAAAAAGACAAAAAACTAGTCAGCAGACTATGTCATTAAAGAGCTAAGGAAGTACAGGAGCCTGCTACTGAAATAAAAATTTCCACAAGGTTAGTCTGTAAAATATATACAGTTTGATAGGAAAACTTGTTAGCTATCTGCCACCTTGACTATTGCCTGAAAAAATTAATTTTGTCCTGAATCTGAAGCAATTCTTTCATTTATAACAGACAACTGACATTTTTACTCTGCTGTTCAAGGAAAGCTTTGAACTTTGAAATTTCTTTAGAACTACAGCAACTTTCAGGCAGGCAGTCAAATTTCCTACACGGAAGTATCATGAAATGTGTACTAAATTTTTAGAAGTTAATTTGTAAGAATATGGGAGTAAATTAATTGGTTCGATTGAATTGGAAAAATTACCAAATAATTATAAATACCTGATTTATCTGTGGTTGAATAAGCTGCAAGAAATCCACGTCCAGATGTGTGAATTCCACTCATGAACTGTACTGTGACTTCATTACTTTTTGAAGTGATTAAACCATCCATTTGAAAGCCAAACCCACAGTATTTTCCTGTCGAGAGAAGGAGGAGAACAAATATTGATCCAAAATAACACATGCAATAAGCATTTTATTCGATTTCCAACCTCTTATTTCATCTGCAGTGTAAGCTCACGTTAGTTCTGGTGTATACTCAAAAGCAAATACACGAGAATGACACTAAACAATGTGCTTGGTGACCAGTTAAAGCAAATGGCAGACTGCGAGTTCCACATTTGCTTTGTCACTGTCCAAGGTCTTGCATTCCCATACCTGCAGATAAACGTGACCTTATCCCATTCACCTCTAGCCATGCATAACCCCCACAGGCAGAGCTTCAGAGAACATTAGGAATCTCACAAGGGAAAGGATCAAGTCGGGACAATGAGAAGCATCTACAGAAGCAAATGAGAAAAAAGCTGTCCTTTTCCCAAAGTTACTGGAGCACTTCCTCCTCATAGACTCTTCCATGGTTTCTGTCACATACTTTCCCTTATTCTGGACAGCAACAGGCACAGGTCACTGCATTTCAGCAGTATCATACATATATCATGTATTATCATACCATAGGTAAGCACCATTAAGATACATTACCAATTAGTTCTCTTCTATTTTGTCACACCTAAAAATTCTAACAAAGGTTCTGTATCTGAGTGCTTCTCTTGCCATACAAAATGAACAAAAATAACACAATTTCAACTGCTGGAGTCCACAGATATTGACAATATTTGCCCTATGAAGTTCAAGAATTGATACCAGGTCACATTAATGGATGAATTGCTGTTAAACAGGCCCCAGTCAATATGGAATTCTCCAGTCCTATTAACTAGAAGCTTTAGTAAAGATACTGACCAGTTAATTAACTTGTTTAGAAAAAAATAATCTTTTGTTCTACAGGCTACCATGATCATTCAATATTGTAGAAACCATCTATAACCCTATTTAAGATTCTGCAGTGGATAACCAAAGAGAATAATCACCAGCAGGAAATGACACTGCCTCTTTCTGCTCCTTTCTCAAATAAAGGCAAATTACCATACTAATGTAAAGGAAATTGAGTAACATGTTCCTGCAGGAATAGTTCTTAACAAATATAATACAAAATAAATATAACATGTATGTCAATTTCCTTTAAAAAGTGAATTGCACTCCCAAACACTATAAAAATAATTTAAAAAATTATAGAAGTTAAAATAAAAATTCCTATCATTATTCAGAGCTTTCTAGATGTTGCTTATTCAGTTTTTTTCTTTTTTTAAACAAAGCAAGGGTATCTTCTAATAAGAAACCAGAAAAGCTTTTTTTAAAATTTTTTTTCAGCCACTGGATCTTGTTACATGAGTGACCATCATGAGACTCCTCTCAAAAGAGCATTTACCCCCTTCTTCAGGCAAATGCATAGTGCAAGCCATTTAAATCCAGCTTGGATAAACTCTCCAGTGCTGCACTTTATGGTTCACAGCAAGGCATACTTTTGAGACTAAATAATTATAAATAATTTTTCTAACTCTTCCCTGATTTTTGTCAATCGTTTAAAAAGCAAGCACTAGGAAGTGAAAAAGCATGACTGCAGTTACACTTCTGTCAGCTGTGTGTGCAGAAGATGTAATACTGTTATTTTATCTGTAGTTATGCATTGAAGGATCGCGAGTGCTTTTGTACATCTACAATACACCAGGAGAGGGAACTCCCATGTCTTAAATAAGTACATCTGATTGCAGATGCACAGTGATTTGACTGTACTGAAATCTTATAAACTCTTCTAGATCTTACGCTAGAGACAAACCTACCACTGAGCACTTGAATCTTCTTTTGATATTTTCATATATACTCAACAGGCTTGGAATAAGCACTAGCCCTTAAAAGCTTCATTAGAAACCCTCTCTGTTTATCAATGAACCCACTGACAACTGATTTTTTAATCTAACCAGCCAACTTTTAAGTCATTTTGGGTAAAAAAAAGGTATGACTGAATTTCAGATTTTATGTAAAACAAGTTATGTAAAACAATGTTAGACCATGGCAGTATCTTGAATGGATAAACTTAGGATAAGTCCAGATTTCTCCCATGAAAATGCAAGTCATTGCTTAATCTCTCCAGTGTCTGTTGCTTCAAACCCAAAAAAAAAACCCAAACCCTGCCTCATCTGTATTTGCCACTGTTAATATCTCTGTTTGTCCTGTGATTTAATTTATTAAGACCAGAAAAACACACACATTTCTCCAACATACTGTGCTGCTACACCAGCAGACCACAGCTGAAAAGCCAGGGAAACAAATGAAGCAGGAATTTACTCGAACCCATTAAGTCCCTTGTAAAAGTGAATAATAGACTTATCAGAACTTGACGTTCCTTGCCATTTAAGGTATTCAATGTTTCCTATTTTAGACCAAGTCTGGCTCAACAGCTCCAAGCACATACTTATTTTCACACACACTTACCTAGGTAACAGTTGGAAAAGAGGGTTAATAAACCTAACACTCACTGGCCTCTTTAGAAAAAGACTCGATTTAGTGGGATCAGCATTTGAATTGCACAAAAACAGTCTCAGTGAAGTAAATATTTTTCGCTGTCTCCAAATTAAAGCTTTAGGAAAGAAAACAAAGTTCATCTGTATAACAGCTAATTTTAGAAAAAGAAGAACGACAATTCATTTTGAATTTTATGCGAAGTAACCATAAGTCTAAACACCTGACATATACCTTGATGTAGATGATAAAATCACGCTGCTATTTGAAAAAAACTCACCGACTTCTGGTAGTGAAACAAAAACTAAGAACATTATCAGAGGATGGAACATACCTTTTGAAGCCTGTCATCCTTTAACACCACCAAGATGAACAGCTCAAATCAGAGTGAATTGATATAAAAAGAAAGGCATTTCAGATAAGGTAAGATATATATTTTTTTTTCACCTTTTTATTTTTAATGAAGATATTTCTAGTTTTACAGTACCCTCTTCAGTGCTTACAAGAACTTTGCAAGCTACTAGGAAATGTCAGAGGCAAAAAATCCACATTGCAGTGGAAATTCCTTTGAGAATCTCAAGACCCAAAGATTATAACAGGATCTGTGGTGTATTTATGATGCAGCTGCTGTTAAAAAGCAACAAAAGTACTCACAGTACACCTGAGTTCTATACAAGACAGCAGTTCCAAGCAGTGACAATTGAAACTCCTACCTATTTCTGTCCTGTTGGGGCCAATGCCATTGTGAACTCTCAGGTAACTGGAATGACAGGAATCGGAGTCATCAATATCAAAATCACTGAACTTGAGCTGAAGGCGCTGCCCGGGCTTCACGCGGATCTCCCACTCGCACACGGTGCTGTTGGGAGAGGTCCGGGGGTAGTTTATGGAGGCCAGGGTCCCGCTCTCGGCGCCCAGCACAGTGTGTCCACAGCCATCACCTGGGAAAGAGCAGAGAGAAATCAGCTGCCACGCTCTTCCTCAGAGCCCCACATCACAGCCCTCCAGACTGCCAGCTCCAAGGTAACTCATGCAATGGTGACACAGCAATGGTGACAAATACCACTCAACTACCAAACTCCTTCGTTCTGCACTAGAGGTGACCAGAGAGCTGCCACAACTTCCTCAGTGAGATGGAAAGTGGTCCATAATGAATTAAAAAACAGAATGTACAAGATGTGTCCCTGCTATTTCATATTTCCTTAACACCTCAGTACAGAAGGAAACGGGTGCTGAGAAGGACAGAGAAACCTGACAATAAAACCAGAGCAGATTGGTTTTACTAAGTTACTGTACTCACAACACAATGAAAAACAAGTACACAGCCATTGGACAGCAAGTAAAATACAGCATATTAAATACAGCTCTGACCACTACCAAACTGGAAATACATTGTTTTCTACTGCTACTATTTTAATTATTCAATTCACTCCTGTTTAGAGAACGTATTCAATTTTTCGGAATTTGCTGTGACTCCAACCCAAAGCCTTCTACCTAACTTTGGAGTATTAAACAGTAATAACAGTACTAAAACTAATTTGTTTGACAAATGGAAAATAAAATTGTGTATTGTGAATATTGAATTATAAAAAGCAAACAGATAAATTCCATTATTCAACAGCTAGACATGCACTTCACCCAGTATGTAGCACAAAAAGTGAAAGAATTTCTGTGCTGGTTTAGAAATGTGAATGTTCTTAGAGTAACATGCACAATGATCACCATGATTCTTATTGACAAAAATTTGTTTTGACAGCTAAAAGTGTTTCATATTACACAATAATATGTGTAATTTCTCTACTAAATACAAAAAGGTAAGCTGAACTTTAGGTAGAAAAACTGTACACATACTTAAGAAATTTAACTAAATTTCAAAATTCTTAAATGTATTACATGTGAGACTGAGTGGAAAAGTAAGTCCAATGCACTGAAGTGATGTGGAAAAAACAAGCCCCTGTGATCAAGTTAACTCGGTCTGATTAATCTGTTTGCAAACACAACTAATATTTGCTAACAAAAACTATTGTCCTTATAATTTGAGCACATTGAAAGATAGCTGCATGTTATAAAAACTAAATTACTGCTAGTACACAGAATCATAAACGGATTCAGATGCAAACTGCAGCTGTTTATCGTGCCAGCAGTCTGGAATGAAAATGATACATCCTTGGAAAAGTTAACTGGAATATCTGCTTAGTAAAATCAAAAGTTGTATTTGTGAAGCTGTTCTTCAGCCATGTTTTCATTAATGCAATTTGCTTTAAAACACGTTGTTCTATCCCATGGCAAATATTTCCATTTGGATGACAGCTGATCAATTACTCTTCTAAGTCAGAGTTTTTCTAACACAAGACACCATTGTTCAAGATTACAAAGAGGTAACCTAAACTGCATGTTTTATATAGCACTATTATCCTGGTTTCTTTCAAAAGGCATGTTATAAACCTAAGAAAAGTGAAAGCTTTATTATGCAGAGTCTGTATGGCCTTGGTTTATTAGCTACTAAGTGCTCAAATGTCAAATTTCTGATCAGCCATAATATGCTAACACTTAACAATAAAGGATTCCTTTTCTAGTAAAATGTATTTTCACAAGCAATGTATACTCACATTTATATACATTTTCACAATGTATACTCACACACATTACAAAATGCATGGAATTTATTAGATTAACAACAGCAAAAACAACAAATACATTCATGGTGATACATGGGGTTAGCATTTCAAAACTCTTTATATTGCAGATATAAAAATAATTATCAACACAAGCAGCAATCAGTTCTAGGTTATGTCCTAAACAAAAGCAATGAGCCACTAACCAGTTCTGTGCTTTTCTTGTCCCACGATGGGGTAAGCAACTGCTTATTCATTCACAGATTGAAAGTACTCTGCAAATACACTGACACCGTGGCCTTTTGAATATGAAATCATAGTAGCATTCCCCTGTATGGGCAGATACTGTTCTGAGTGCATTTTAAGGAAAATAAAAATCCTTGCATGAACTATAATGCTCAAAAGTTACTTAGTTCTCATTTCAATAGGAATGCAGTCACCACAAGAATACTATTTCTTAAAATCAAGAATAATAATAATGCACATGATTCTCCCCCACCTTCTTGCATCTTAAGCCTATGCTGCTGGAAATCAAAGACAAAGGAAAGCCTGTGCCTCCTCATTGACCCAAAATGTATTTAAGCTGTAAGCTTCTCCAGTTAAAACTAGAAAAGATCATGCCTAACATTCATTTAAACACTTCTCTCTGCTAGTTTGCTGTTCAGCTATCTCAAGCATGAAACAATACCTGCACTGTGCATGATGAACAGCACACAGCTTTCTGGTGAGAAAAGCAAAAGAACTCCAAAAGAACAAAACACACTTAGGTGAGAGAATGCAAATAAAATATTTTAAGTATTAAAAATTGTGACTTTTCTTTTAAAGACACATCATTTAAAAATGACATTACTTCTTGTAGTTTGAAACAATGTCATGTTTCCCATGGCTAGAGAGAAAAACTTTATTTGCTTCACACAATTTAATGGAAAATCAATCTCAAATCTCCCTTTTGTTGTAGGCTTTCTTAAAAACATGAGAGAAAAAATATTCCTCTATCCATATTAAAGAACCTGCCATCAAAGCATACTAGAAAGGAAAGGAAACACAGCTGTGCCGAACTGCAGCATCTTACTATGAAGTTGATTTTTAAAAGTAGCTTATTCTGAATGGACATTTTAGATCTTTTTATTGTATTTCACTTAGTGATAAGAGAAACGCCAGACACTTCATGCCTGAAGAATCTAAAGATTATCATGGCATATACAGTCTGCCAAGGGCAGCAGCACCACTCATGAGCTATTTAGAAAATTTTAAAAAACACAATTCCAGTGAAACTTGCAGAACCATGAACCCATATCTTGCTGTATCGGTACTATAAAAGGGCACTTCTCGAGCCTCTCCATGTAACGTGGCGCTTCATCATTTCTGCCACACTTCTTTAAACATCACTGATGAACTCCAGAGACACATGCACACATCTAGCATCCAGGGAGCAATCTGCAATACTCAGCAATTTCTCCAATAAAAAGTACAATTCTTTTCACTACAGCAGCAGATATAGGACAGTAGTCACTTTGTTAATCCTCAAGTCATTAAGTGCCATTAAAAATCTTTTGCTTCTGTTAACCTGTGAGAATGGATTATCTAAGAACACACAGAAGACATCAATTCCCTAATCAATTATTCCTGGATGGGCTTGTTATAAATGAAAATTGATCCAGCCAAATTAAAAATAAAAAATTTTATTTTGCTATCAGACTCTATCTAGCCAGCCACAAGGAAAGAACAGAGCCGAGCCCGGGGTCAGCGCTGGGTGTGCAACAGAGAAGTCAGCCTCAGGGGAGGTTTCCTCTATGCCCACACCATCCTCCTGGTACGAGGTTTTTATAGGGAAAGTTCTGCCTGAGGCCAGGGTTTGGGCAATCAGTCCTTTCTTCCCAATCAGAGTCCCAAATGTTGATGAAATTTCTTTTCTTGGAGTTGGGGTGGAACACTCCCGTGTCGGTGTTGATGAATCCCCGGTGCAGTCCCGGGGATGCAGCACTCCCACGTATCAGCATGGAGGAGTTCCATGATGTCCGTATCTCAGGTCGGGGACGCCATGAGCTCCAGATGTGCCCATCTCCGGGCCAGCCACAGCCATTTGCTTGCAGATGAGGTTTCAACATAGACTGAGTTTTACACGTGTGGGGGCAGCTTCTAATACAGACGTGTGTTTTCTAAAAAATACTAAATATTACATACACCATATTATAATTGGCGTGAATTACATTCACTACACACAACAGGCTGACAGCCTCTCTTGTCAGTACACAGCTGAACAAGAGTGCTGCTTTCTTCCAGACTTCTCTCTCACACCACAGGCCTCTTTACATGTGCAGGATAGATAAAGCCCTTTGTAGAAGCACAAGATCACTGGTGGGCACACTTCACACCTGACACGAGGAGGGGCTGCAGATGTCCATCCAACCTCACATGTCCTGGGGACCAAGTTCACAACAAAGAGGAAAAGTTCAGCTCTTCACCAGAAGTTGTGTTAGAAACAGGGGCACCTCTTTAAGCAGCTGGCAGAGGAAGGCAGAGTGCTGCCATCAGAAGGATCCACCTCCTCTGAATGCAGCCTGGATGAACTCTGCTGGCAGAGTTCATATGACCCCCGGGCCATGGACACTGATGTCTGATGCAATCATGCAGGTGGTTGAAAATTTCTTAGAGCCGAGTTCTTTACATCAACAAAATACAGGACTCGGACCAACACAAACATACCAAATCCATGGGATTTTGATACTTGAAGAAAATGTGGGATTTAATAAAATGAAAAAATACTGAGCATGCAGGAGTGGGTGCTAGGTTATTAATACCCACAAAAAATATTAACTATACTTTGTAGCTGTGGAAGTCAATCAGACTTTTTCCCCATGGAAAACAGTTGCTGTTAGACTGCTAAACTTGTTCTCACTATCAAAACATGTTTAAAATAATTTTTTAGACCAGTGAATACTTTCCCATTACTTACTTGGAGAAGAGTGAGATAAAGACATTAGACAGTTCAATATCATAACCTATAAAGCATAGCTGATACATATCAAAACACCAATCTCAATTTTAAAACATAGCACTGCCTTTTGAACAGACTCAATTTAACCAGTGGGTTTCCTGAGAATATTTTACATATAGAAGCTATTATTTTATGTATGTTTGTGACTAAATATTGGAGATATTTGTAACTTTTTTAACTAAGCACAGGTAGAACCAAATCTGTAATAGTCGTGTAAGCAAAAAAAAGGGTGTTTTAAAACATTAATTTTAACTTCAAATACACAACTCTTTCTGATTCAATACATTACTATAATTTCTCCTCTTCTGCTCAGCTCCTGTGCTCTGCA